TGTCGGGATGCTCCATGTGACTCCATGTGTGGGTCGGGACGCTCCATGCGGCTCCGTGTCGGGACGCCGCTGGCGGCTCCGTGCCCGGCTGCCGCCTGTGTGACGGGGCGCCGCTCTCTCCCGCCCGCAGGCTGCGCGCAGGCGGCTGCAGGGACCCTAACGCGGGCGCCGCCGCCCCGCGGCCGCCCCCCAGCCCGGCGGGAGCCGAGCGCCGCCCACGGGACCCCCCGGCGCCCGCCGCCCGCCGTGCATGAGGCTGCGACGCAGGTGAGCGGGGACGCAGGGGACGGGGACACGGAAACGCCGCCGCGGCTCCCCGCGTCACCCGTTGCCCTCCCGCAGTACGCAGGACCCGCGTCCGCAGCGACACCCCTTCCGATGTCCCGGCATGAGGCTTCTCCGACAACGGTGCAACCCGCCAGCAACCACCGCCCCAACGCCTGCTGCTTCTGCTGGTGCTGCTGCTGCAGCTGCTCGTGGTACGTCCCGTGCCCGGCACCGCGGCCCCCTTCCCGGGATGGCGTTTGGGGACATGGACCTTGCAAGCTGGCGCCCTGCTGCTTGCAACTTGCTCGCGCATGGGGAGCCTTCGGGGACAGCGGAGCTGTGTTTCCCTCCCTGTTGTCCCTGCGAGGGATGGGGAGCGTTTGAGGGGACATGGAGGACCCCCCCGCTGCAGCGTTTCCTTCTGCCAGGCGGGCGCAGGGCTGTGGCGCAAGCAGGAAACGCTGCGGTTGCCGCTGGGTCCGGAGCGCCGGCACCGGGGGAAGTTGGATGGGGGCCGCTTTCCTCTTGTGCACATCGGGGGGAATCACAGGCCATGGCAGCCCCCAGGGGCCCCCCAAAGCCCCTCCGGGGCTTTGGGGGGCCCCTGGGGGCTGCCATGGCCCAAACCAGGAGCCCTCCGCCCGCTGGGATATCCTGGGATGGGTTTCCCCCGGGAAAAGGGCAGTGGGAAGCTGGGAATGACCGAGCAGCCGGCGCTGAGATGCACTGACCTCTGCCGGCTGCTCCGAGGCTGCTGCAATTGCCCAAATGCAGGAAAATGCAGGAAAACCGGTGGTGCATTTGGGTCACAGCTCTGGGCATTGGGGCAGGGGACACAGGGACCCGTTACTACCTCTCCGCATGCCCGTTAGGAACGAGGACCGGGAGCGAGCATGGAGGGCGTCTCGGGAGACCAAACTGGAGCCCATCCCAAACTGTGAAGCCTGGTGAGTGCAGGGGCAGGAGGGCAAGGGGCAGCAGGAGCTCGTGCCGGGGGTGGCAGCGTGAAGGAGGTGGCAGGACGTGACACGGAGCGGTGCAGCCTCCCCTTGCACCCTGCAACCACCCTGCAGCGCTGCGACACTCACAGAGGCTGCAAAAGCCGCAGCACCCACGTTGCGCTGCCCGGATCCCGTTAATTCCCCCCCGGATTAATTACCGGCCCGCTTTGGCCCCGCGCTGACGCTCTCCCCGGCGCCCGCAGCGCCAGGCCCACGGCCGAGGAGGTGCGGGGCTGGGCACAGTCCTTCGACAAGCTGATGAAGAGCCCGGCGGGTCGCAACGTCTTCCGGGAGTTCTTGCGGACTGAGTACAGCGAGGAGAACATGCTCTTCTGGCTGGCGTGCGAGGAGCTCAAGGGCGAGTGCAACAAGCACAGCATCGACGAGAAGGCCCGCACCATCTACGAGGACTACATCTCCATCCTGTCGCCCAAAGAGGTAGGGGCCAAGCGCCGCGAGCAGCTCGTGGCGGGGACACTGTGGCATGGGAGCATGCCAAGGGAGGAGCATCCCATGGATGGGAGCACCCTCAGATTGCAGCGTCCCAATGAAGGGAGCATCCCAAGATGAATGTGCCTGGGATAGGGGAACCTCAGGGTGGGAGTATCCCAAGGGGGGAGCATCCCACAGATGGGAGCACTCTCTGATTGGAGCATCCCAACGATGGGAGCATCCCAAGATGAGAGCACCAGATAGGAAAACCCCAGGGTGGGAGCATTCCAAGATGGGAACAACCCAAGATGGGAGCAACCCAAGATGAGAGCACCCCTGATAGGAGAACTCCAGGGTAGGAGCATTCTAAGATGGGAGCACCCTGGTGTTGGACCATCCCAAAGAGCAGAGCATCCCAAGGATGGGAGCATCCCAAGATAAGAGTACCAAATAGGAGAACCCCAGGTTGGGAGTATTCTAAGATGGGAGCAGCCCGGTGTTGGACCATCCCAAAGAAGGGACCATCCCAAGGATGGGAGCATCTCAAGTTAAGAGTATCCAATAGGAGAACCCCAGGTTGGGAGCATTCCAAGATGGGAG